TCAGCATATTCAGGAAATATGCTTCAATTAACAGGAAAAACCATTGTACCCAATAACTCATCACAAGTTGACAACTTTCTTCTTTTTTTTCTTCATCTTCTTCTTGAACATAATCTGAACATATTCAGGAAATACATGATATTTTATACATGGACTGACATCACCAAGAAAACAATATTCAAAGAGCATAATTGGTTAGAAAACAAAGTGGTAATTTGAGTAATAATCCTCTGATTGGCCAGATGTAAAGAAACATATATCTGCGTCAATCTAAGTAAAACCTAAGTGTTTACTTAACCTAATCTAAATGATAATGGGCAAGGATTTTTCATATCCCAAACAAAAGTATTTTTTTTACTGATACGAGACTAAAATCTTCTCTAACCCAGAGATTGCAACATTTTGTACCTATTATGTTGTCTGCTAGCAATATCAGACCTACAAGAGGAAAGCCTTCTATATAACAGGCCTTTCTAACATTCTAATAAAATATTACTTAAAGAATAAATCTATAAAAACCACAGAAATATGAATAATCAAAAAAGGGGGAAATCTTTATAGTCCCATCTCTACTACACTGGGGAGTTTCCTTTAACAACAGAAAGCACAATCCGATAGAGGGGACCCATGTAAAACTGCAAACTTGTGCGCTGCTAGCCAATGCCTTTTTGTGTGTTTTTAACAGTACCTGACAAACTACCACTGACTCAGCATGTGGTTAAATTCTGAAGGACTGAAACTGGCTTGGGTATGTGCAGGGGAGGCGGGGGTTCTGCCATCTAAGCAACCTTCCCCAACCCCCCCTCCCCAAGGCACTGATTCTCTTATGGTATATTTCAGAACAACCTGAATAAGCAGGCCGTCATTTACGGCAGCTAGAAATATGTTTCTGTACCACACCCTTGTCTCTAAATTCACCCTCAGTTCCTGGATTAACTCAACTGTCTGCTTTAAAAAGTCATTGAAGAAATCCATGAGAATCATCAGTTGCAGAGGCAGGCCAAGGAGAGGGCGGAAGAGTCAGGAACAAAACTTTCCATGCTGTTGTAAATCAATGGGCTTAGAAGGGTGAAGCTCCATTTTGGAAGCCTCTGTTGCCTCCTTCGTTTTCACCCTGGGACTTAACTCTCACCTGGACCTTTTCTTTAAAGCTGGGGGGTGGGCAGCGTTTCCAAGAATTACCTGACATGTCTTGAAATGCAGGTGGCTTTCACTCCGTGTCTATATTATACCTTCTACCTGTAGTATACCCTGACCCGGATAGCCCGGGCTAGCCCGATCTCGTCAGATCTCAAAAGCTAAGCAGGGTCAGCCCCGGATAGTATTTGGATGGGAGACCTCCAAGGAATACCAGGGTTGTGACGTGGAGGCAGGCAATGGCAAACCACCTCTGAAACATCTCTTGCCTTGAAACCCCCACGGGGTCGCCATAAGTCGACTGTGACTTGACATCACTTCCCCCCACCACCACTTGTAGTATAAGAGCCGTATAGCTGAGCTATGTAGCCGCGGCCAAACCAAGCCCTGTTAAACAAAACATAGTTGAATTAATAGCATAAATTCACAAACATGAAAAGAGATACAAAACTGTTCTCTAACGAACCACTGCTCTGATTCTGCATGAACAGTAAACCAAAATTAGGATCCTGATTTTTTTGGGAGCCGACCCACAAGCATTGGGATTGTTTTAAGCAGGGTTCTTTGAAATGTCTGCCCCCCCCCCCTACATTTTTACATTTGTGGTGTCAGTTTATATTCTTCTGCAGTTGGCTTAAATGATTAGGGTTTTCAAGGGAGTGTGGTGTCATTATCGGTGCCATTATTGATGGTGTCAGAGCATCCCTCCGTATTAGGCTTGCCAGCTCTGGGTTGGGAAATCCCTGGAAATTTGGGGGGTGGAACCTGGGGAGGGAGGGGTTTGGGGAGGGGCGGGACCTCAGTGTGGTGTAATGCCATAAAGCCCACCCTTCAAAGCAGCCATTTTCTCCAGAGGAACTGATCTCTGTTGCCGGGCAATTCAGGCTCCACCTGGATATTGGCAATACTACTCCTTATTGTCCCGCCGTGGGTTCCTCCGCAGACTCCAAGGCCGCTGAGGCAGGACTGGCGCACCACCTGCCTTACTCACAGCACTACAGGAAAAACAGAGGGCCATCTTGCCACTATAGGAACCAAAGGCGAGCCCTTGGAAGCCGCCGTGCTGCCACCCCCACTTCCCCCACTTCCCCCGAGAAAAGCGACACCCCGAAGTCAAGTGTCAGGGAGGGAAAGGGGAAAGATGAAGCAGGAGCCCAGCCCGAGTGGCCGGCGAGGGATGCAGGAGAGACATGCTTGAGCACAGCTATGCAGTGCATGGAAAGGCCCGACCTTACTGGAGGAAAGATGGCCGGAGGCATCACAGATGCTGTCATTCACTCAGGCGGCTGCCCCGGAAGTAGCCCCGCCCCTAGATAGAGCAGTTAGGGAAGGGAATAATGAGGAAACTCAGGTGGGTGGGAACAAGGGAGAGAGATCCTATGGGGAAAGCAGACGAGGTGAGTGGCAGGTCATGGGAGCAATAGAATCACTAAAGAGAGAAAGGGGAGGGATAACAGAGAGTAAGGAGGGGATAAAAGGAGAGAAGCAGAAGAAGGTTGGGGAGGATGTCGGTGGCAACTGGCTGGGAGATAACAGAGAGACAACGTAAAGCAGCTGTTGAAGCGAGGAAGAAGGCTCTGTCAGTGGTGAAACGTCAGACCTATTCTATATCTGAGACTGTACAGGATTAACCCACTCAGTCCAGTCCAGGAATGCGAGGGAATCCAGTATTTCAGCACATTAAACAATAAACCACGAGATAGTTTATACTCTCTCTGGTCTTCACAACAATTTGCCACCAGAATCTCTTTCCAAGAGTTCCTGCCTTTCCTAAGGGAAGAGATTCAACCCCTTAGTTGGCATCTGGGACTTAACACATTACTATCACAGTGGTAGCTCTGTGTGGTCAGCGTTAGACACAAGATTTAGCCTTGGAGTTCAATTACACCCTCAGACAATTACAAATAAGAATGATCTTTATTCAGTACAGAGCATAGCAAACAGACTATAAGAGGACACAAAACTAACAACGCTTAGGGCTGTTTGCCCTAACTACACATTAAAGATTCATAGTTCCCAAATTTAGGAACATCCAAGATAGTCCAAGTAGGCACCAAGGGATTTTGAAGAGAAATCCCATCTTGCACAAGCATGTGGTCCAGTTCACAAAGCAGCTCTTTGTTTCCCAAAGGACAGCATTCCAGGTGCAATAAAGCAAGCAATGGCAGGAGGAGAGAAGAGAGGTCACTCCCATAGAGATCAACGGAATTATACCCCAATTCCAGTCATAATTAGCTGTGGCCATCAGCCAATCACGAGTGGACAGGGTGTGTGTGTTTGGGGATAGGCTAGAAGTTTGGGGGCCCACCTGCAGTCAGGTGACCCAGCTTCCAGCTTCTCCATGGTGTACGTGACATGGGCCATGTGCCCTAGTGTGGAGCCTTAAAGTCTAGCTTTTAGCATAAAAGTGTGAAGGAATGTAGGTATGTGGCATAGCTATTAGTTCAGGCCATTTGGTCTCACACTAGACGATTTGGGCCTGCAACAGGAAATAAAGACACAGCATGTCATACAGAATGTCATCACAGGAGAAAACATGTGCATTTATAAAGCAACAGAAAGCAATATTTCTATACAGAGACCTTCGCTTTTCTCCTAAATCCTTTGCCAGTACGGCTGGCAGTCCTCTAGGGCCTGGGGCTCCACCAGGGTATGGCACTTATTTTTAATGGCTTTTTAAAAAATGATATCACTCCTATTTGTGTGTGTGGAGGGGGAGTGGTTGAACCTGAAATGTGTGCTGGAGGAGGGTGGGACAAACAAAACCGACAGAAACGTTACCCACTAGGAAACAACTGACTCAAAATTGGTTTCCAGGAAAAGACTGAGGTAAAGGTGATCTTAGATGAGCCAGAAAAACCACGGTTGGGGGGAAAATGAATCGAAAGTGAAAGGCAGAAAAACGCATGTGAAAATTGGGGGATAAACTGAAGCAGTATGGGGCCAGAACTGAAAAAAAAAAAAACATGCAGAAAAGGGCATAGACACCTCTGCATTAGGGTTACCAACCTCAAGGTGGGGCCCAGAGGTCTCCCAAAATTACAACTGATCTCCAGAGTCCACAGATCAGTTCTCCTGGAGGAAATGGCAATTTCAGAAGGTGGACTCTATGGTATACCCTTTGAAGCTATGTTATACCATAAAGACTAGGAGAAATGCAAGTCCTGAACTCCTTCCCCTCCCCAAACTCTGCCTTCTCCAAATCTCCAGGAATTATACCATCCTGTGCTGGCAACCCTCTTCTGCATTGGAAGGGGCAAGGAAGGCCCATGTAAATTCCATGCAAGTGCAGAAATGCCATACCTACTCAGAAGCCTACAGTGACGATAACATCACCTATGGCTCCTAAGCCTTCTGCAATTCTCTGCACACATGGAGCATTGTAGAGATCTTCCATTACATGGTCACTGCTGTGTGTATACCTACATGCAGAGGTCATTTCGGGGGGGAACGCGGGGGAACGCAGTTCCCCCAAGTGAGGGGCGGGGGGGGGGGGCACATGATGAACCCCCCCCCCGCTTCTGGCCGCCCCGCTTCCAGCCCTCATTCAGCCAGGAGGAGGCAGGAGAAGAGGGAGGGTAAGTTGCTTCCTCCCCGCCTCTCCCCACCCCTGCCTGCCTGGGGCCAGGAAGGGCCTTGGCGGGGCTTCCTCGCACTCCCGCTGGCCTTGCAGGTCCACCGCCGGGCCCCTGATGTCAGGGGGTGTGGCATATGCTAATGATTTATGCTAATGAGTTCACCTAGCTCTTTTTCTACGAAATGACCCCTGCCTACATGGGCTGCCATACACATGCCACAACCTCCATGGTTTCCCCCCCCAGGTTCATCCACATTGTGCCGTGTCACCACACTCCTGATCCGCTATGGAAGGCCTGCATATCGCTGCCTGCTTCGTCTCCTTCATAAGCCTCTTGCTGCTCATCATTGCCTTGGCTTCAGACTACTGGGTAGTGGGTTCAGACAGGAGTCACACAGGATTGTGGCAAATGTGCAAAGCTAACATTTGTTTATCATATGGGATGCAAGTGCAAGGTAAGGTAATTTGTAAAGACATGGTACACCAAAGTGTTGATCAGGCAATTCTGTTGTTGGGATTAAATGTGCATGTGTTGCGTGGAAGGGGTATGACAGTAGACTTCTGCAGTGATTCACATGAACACATGAAGCTGCCTTATCTTGAGTCAGGTCTCTGGTCTATTAAGGTCAATATCGTTTACTCAGACTGGCAGCGGCTCTCCTGGGTCTCAGGCTGAGGTCTTTCACATCACCTACTTCCTAGTCCCTTTTTAGCTGGAGATGCCGGGGATTGAACCTAGGACCTTCTGCGTGCCAAGCAGATGCTCTGCCACTGAGCCACGGTCCTTCCCAATCCCTATTATTCCTTGACTATAAAACACTATAAAAAGCAATACTGCTGCCACTGTCTTTACATCTGGATTCCTGTTCATATTGCACCATGCTATTGCACATGTACTACCCTGTACATTGCTAAAACACAACACACACACAAGAACGTGGGTGTAATCATACACATGCTCACATCAGGTTTGCTTTTCTGCTGTGTTTCATTAATGCATGTTTAACCTCTCCCCCCCTACCGCTCTGCCCCTTCTCTCTTGTTGCAGCTTATATCCATGCCACCCGAGCCTTCCTGTTCATGGGGATGGTTGCCGGCGCTGTTTCATTCTTTGGTCTTTATGCCTTGTTTTCCCACACCCACGTTGGCTCCATTTCCATATATATTGTTGCCATGTCGGCCAGCTGTGTGGCAGGTATGTCATTGAATTGGCTAGAAGTGGTGGGACTCCCTCAGTTCCGTTCTTTGCACGGGTTTGCTACACCCATTATTATTGTTGCTGTTGTTGTTGTTGTTGTTGTTTTAAAACGTTATTGATAACATAAAATTACATTACTTGTGACATATGTAGTTAAATATAATCATTCATCTGGAAAGAGAGATACAACCAATAAGTCGAAGTAGAATAAGAAGTATTAAATTTGAAGTTACAGCCATTTAGAATAGCAAAGAACCGTATAAAAAGCAAAACTGGTAAACATGTTTGTTGCTATATTAATGATCATTGAGGTAGAGTCTTATGGAGCGCAGAGGTGCCATAGGATTTCACGAGCATTTCTCAAGGGATTTGACTCTACACCAGCGTAAATTAGAATAAAATAAAATTAAAAAAATAAAGTGAAGAGGGAGATGATAGGCGGGGAAGATGAAGGACAGATTAGAAGTGAAGAAGTTGGCGGTATGTTTGGTTATGTAGTGTTCTCCTCCTTTTTATCTTCACAACAAACTCATGAGGTAGGTTAAGCAGAGACTGTACGACTGACCCAAGATCACATGATTGGGATACTTGGTTCGTATAGCAGAGTTTTGCCCAGTCATAGAAGCGTGATACTGAATGCAGTAAATAAATCTTTCAAGAAGTATATTGCAAAAAGGCTAAACTTACATTTATTCAAGTAGATTCATTTCATATAGAGTCAAAAGAAGAGAAAGAAGCCTAACACCTACTTTCCCTATTACAAATATACTTTCCCTATCACAAATGGCCAACTTGTGTTGGAAGTGAAGCCATATTTCAAAATGCTAATTCTTATACAATTTTTTGATGTATGCTACTGCGCTTATTCTGGTGACTGGGGAGCTCCTATAGCAAGCTCTAATGTGACTGGGTCTACAGTATATAATAATTGGCTAAGCTTATATACAGTCACATTAGAGCTTGCAGCACTTCACTCTAATGAAGATATAAGTACAGAATGACAAACCTGAAGAAGGACTCGCAAACGGATAGTGTACTAGAACTCCGTCGTTTGTCTGAAACTAGTACTGTAGTATTCTGTATGTACTGTTAAGCTTTATATTGCATATTATAGTGTTATGGTTGTAATTTTGTTTATAATTGAATTCTAAAACATTGCAGGTAAAGATCAATTTATATTGTTTATTTGTACATGGTGATTTACTGTTTTACTGGCTACTTTACACCGTGGTCCTGTTTGTTGTAATATACCCTTTGGAAGCTTGGCAACCCTGGACCTCAGGGATCTTCTGCTCAGGGACACCCACTCAAGCTCTGGATTTGGGTTTGGTTGGCTAGCCCAGAGATATTTTGCAAGGCTTGTCTTCTCCACCGTTACTGAGGTCCATCCATTCTAGGGTTGTCAGACCACCCTCCAGTGGAGGTGGGGAGTCCCCTGCTGCAAGGCTCCAGCTCCCTGCCATTGATCAGTTGGCCGGCAGGGGGAAACTCATCCTGAAAAAGAGGAAGATCCATCCAACATCCAGAAATGTGTTGACTTCACTGCCCACATGACCTGGAAGTTACATCATCATTTCCAGGATGCTGGGGCTGTTGGAAATATGTGTGTTGCAAGGACTAAAGTCAGTCATTATAGGGTTAATATGCTTACCTTGTGTGCTGTTGTTTAGACTGACCTGGAAGGGAACCTGGCAGAAAGCCAATGGAATGAAAGCCCAGGAAACTGAAGCCTATTTACTAACAATCATTGGTTAATGAATTCAGGTGATTTCCTTCTAGGGGTCAAGAAGGAAGAATCTCCGTTACTATCTGTGTGTCTGTTGTTGCAAGCGTGTAGTCTTACGTGTTTATTGTTTTGTAGATTTTCCCATGTACCCTTCCCTTAAGAAATAAAGTTTTTTACATAGAAAGAAAATGCCTCCTCTCCAGTGAACAAAGATCCACTGCAAACTCTGACTGTTTAACTATTTTTACCAATTTTCCAATGAGGCAACACTCTGGTATTTGGGCAAAACTCTACGGGTCACATGGTCAGTGACGTAGTCATGTTGCTGTATGTTGGCTGGACCTACCTGCTACTCCCAGTAGCGCTTCCCCATCCTCTGCCAGTTGAAAGGAGGGAGCGGCAACCCTAATCTATTTTTGCTAAAAATCTCTGACATCCCAAACAGGACGACCAGCTTCTCTGTATAGTGAGGCAGGTACAAGAGTTCTGCAGGGATCGGGGGTTCCTAAAGGATAACGCCTTTTTTTCTTTTGCGTTCCTAGGTTTTTGCTCCGTGATTGCCATGTCCACATTCACAGGAGCGTACTATCACCAAGACTCAATCTTCGGGACATGGTTTGGATGGTCCTTTGGTATTGGCTGGGCCTCGTTCCCTCTGTTTCTTCTAACTGGTGAGTATGTACCTGAACGATTAGAACTGATCACCATGTGATCTTTCTGGAATGATTCGGCGCCTGTCTGGGAGTGATAGCGTCAACGCCATGCAACTTCTGGCTCGAGACTCCAATGTGGCTCAGTAAGGAACCAAAGACAACACTCTAAAAAGGAATAGTAAAGGTAAAGGTTTCCCTTGCTCAAAAGCCAGTCGAATCTGACTCTAGGGGGCGGTGCTCATCTCTGTTTCCAAGCCAAAGAGCCAGTGCTATCTGAAGACATTTCCATGGCCATGTGGCCGGCATTACTAAGTTAAGCATATTGCGAGGGTAGGTAGGATGCCAGAAAAAGAACCGGTATGAGAAGGAAAAGGCAGGCAATGATTTATCTGGGACTAAAGAGCTTCTTAGGCTGCATTCCATTGGGCAATTTGATCCATTCCCCTTGCTGTTCCCTTATGGATTTAAAGTGCATGACCAGAAAGCAACATCTGTCTGTCCTGCCTGAGTCGTCTGAGTTCCATTCCCCCCTCTGCTTCCCCCGTTTGTTTGGTTTTTTTGATACCTGATAAAGTCTGGTCCTGTTGCTCTGAGCCGCTTCAAAAATGGATTACCTGTCATCTAGTCACTCTGTTGCGCAGCCAAGCAGTTAGGCAGGTCTCACCGAGCTCTTGCTTTCAGGCCGCCATTCCCCCCCCCCAGTTAGTGAGGATCACATGACTGTATATACGCTCCCCCCCGGGGGGTTGCTCAAAACCTTGTTTTCTTTTGAAAAACTCTCAAAGAAAGACATCCCTGTTCTGTAGCTTTTTAATATCATTTGGCGAAGGGGTAAACGGAAATGACTAGAGGGAGGATGGGAGTGGACTCCATTTCCCAGCAGTCTCTTCACCACTTGGGCGATTGCTCTGTGGACTTAATTTTAAAAGAAAATGGCCGACAGCCCCATGAACTCCATATCCCAGCATGCTGAGTGCTTCTGGGCATGCTCCTAAGGCCAAACTTCTAAAAAAATGGCCGACGGGCTGACTCCCTGCTTTCTGCTGTCTGGCAGGGCCGGCTCTAGGGTTTTTTGTACACTAGGCAAGGCTACCTTCTGGCACACACACCCCCGGTGTGCCCACCAATGTTCTGGAAAAACCCCCCCGTGTGCCCCCGCCCCAGCACGACAGCCCCAAGGAAGAAGAAAAAGAGGGAAGAAGGGAATGGGCACTACCAGGGATGGCCTCAGCCCGGCTGCTTGCTTGCTTTCCTCCCAGGAAGGGTGCCCCCCTCCGAGCCCCCGTTTCCCATGCCGGGGCGGCCATTGCAGTTGACCAGGATGATGGCCAGCATGTAGTCCTTGCCCAGCATGGCCTTGGAGGGTGGGCGTGTGGCAGCCAATGAGCGAGCGAGCGAGGGTGGCAGCAGGGAGGCTCCGCTGCCCAAGGCCGGCACCAGAGTGTGGGGTGGGGCAGAGCTGCATGGGAAGGAGGGCGGAGCCCATCAGGGAGCCCGCTGGAGGCTGGAGCAGCGCGGAGTCCCTGAAGGAGCACACCTGGAAGCCGATCTCCACCGCATGGGGTCACAGCAGCATCGCCTCAGCCTACCCTGTTTAGGTGAGAGTAGGGAGGGGCGGAAGGCCAGTGGAGCGCTCCGCTGCCTAAAAATTCTCTATGACTGGCCGGCCCTGCTGTCTGGTCATGCAAGGAGGGGTAAAATGGCATTGAAGCGTGCTAAAACGGGTGAGTCTGGTCAGGATTCTCTGCCACAAAAATAACCTGGCTTAATTTGAGGCGGGGCAACAGTGGATTAAACTGATTGGACTTTTAGAGATGCTTTTCAGAAAGAGGAACAGAGGTCAACAGTTACCAGGAATCGCAAAGCAATTTGCCTTGCCAAATTGGAAAATATACTACCAAGCGGCTTGCCTTGACTGGATAAAGGAATGGATCAAGCTGGAGGACGTGAGGGGCTTAACCTTAGAAGGATCAGACCTAGTAATGGGCTGGCACGCGTATATTTGATACGGGAAGGATAAAACCCACCCACACTTTAAGAACCACATCTTAAGGGCGGCTCTCTTAAATATATGGAGTAAAATAAAAACTAAATTCTACGCCAAAACACCAAAATGGGTATCTCCCCTGGAAGCCTTTATAAGACCAGCCTTTCTTACCAAGTATAATAAAGAAACATACGAAAAATTATTAGACGAGACAAACCACTTGAAAACAGATGAGAAACTAACATCACAATGTAACTTGAAATTATCGGGGTGGGAAAAGATCCAGTTAAAATCAAGATTTCAAAAAGACTTGAAAGTGGGTTTCTATGTAGAAAAAAATGAGCTAGACAAAATCTGGCTCTCATCAAATGATAAAATGATCCAGAAAATGTATAAACTATTGCTAGAGGATTATTTGTTAGAAGAAACACCAAATCACAATTTAGTGGTATGGAAGAAAGACCTAGGCCATGAAATATCAAAAGAATCTTGGCTAAAGATTTGGAAATCTGTAAAGTACATGAGAGCAACAAACTATAGAGAGAATGTATTTAAGATGTACCACAGATGGTACTGGTCACCAGAAAGGCTAGCCAAATGTTATCCAAACTGCTCAAATGTTTGTTGGAAATGTAAATTAAACGTGGGAACTTTTTACCGTATGTGGTGGCGTTGTACAAAAATTCAGATGTATTGGAAAACCATACAGAAACTAATAGAGGAAATTTTGAAAGTAAAACTGGACATGGTACCTGATGTATTTCTACTTAACTTATGTTATCTTTTAATGAAAAATATGTAATTGCGTATGTAATAGCAGCAAGAATACTCTGGGCCAAACACTGGAATCTAGATTGTGTACCCAGATCTGATGAAGTAATAAGTAAATTGATGGAAGTAGCGGAAGTAGACAAATTGAATATGTATTTACAAGGGAAAAACGATGAAGACTTTTTAGACAGATGGGTAGGATTGTACAAATGGTTGGGGAAAAAGAGTGGACTCTGAAAATATATGTAAAAACTGTAAAAGGAACAAATGTATGTAAAACTATAAAATAAAACTTATTTTAAAAAAAAAGTTACCAGGAATCCAAGTATGAACCATGGGCAGATTTATACCAGCAAACTGAAACAATTAGCCCAGGGTGCGCCTGTGCTTTTTGTTAATGACTTATAGGGAGGCCTTGTGGGTGCCACTTCCTAATAAAGGACTCGCAACAGCCTGTGTTTGAGCTGGAAAAACTGTATGGATATTTAAGGAACATTTCAATTGTCGGTGACGTTAAGTTGTAACTTTTCAGTCATGCCACTGGGCTTCCTTATAAACAGCTCTTTTTATCTGAATTTTGACCCAGTTTGACTCTTTCATTACAAAAGGTGGCAGACCAGTGTTCCCTCTAAGCTGAATTAGTGTGAGTTAGCTCACATTTTTTGAGCCTCCAGCTCACACATTTCTGTCCTAGCTCAGGAAGGATGACTCCAGAGCAAACTGATTTATGCAGCAGCCAAATAGCTGTCTCACAACTTTAATACCAGTAGCTCACAAAGTAGAGTTTTTGCTCACAAGACTCCACAGCTTAGAGGGAACATTGTGGCAGACCCCTGATATAGGTCTTGAACTATCAGCACGGAAGGACTTTGAGGACTGGATGAGCAGTAGCATTACCAGGTCTGGGTTGGAAAATACCTGGAGATTTTGGGGGTGGATCCGGGAGAGGGTGGGGTTTGGGGAGGGGAGGGGCCTCAGCATGATACAGTGACATAGAGTCCACCCTCCAGAGCAGCCATTTTCTCTAGGGGAGCTGATCTCTGTCAGCTGGAGATCAGTTGTAAAAGCCGGAGATCTCCAGGACCCACCTGGAGGCTGGCAACCCTAATGAGCAGTGAGATCCGTCAGTGGTCCGGATGCTTCTGGTGACGCTCCCTTCTATTTCACTTTTATCCTGACAACATTTCTTTTCACTCATGACAGCTGGGCTCGCATTGAGATAGCATCGGGTGCTAAACTGGCAGTGCTGAGTTCAGATCCAGGGAACCCATCCTGGAAGAAACGAAAAAGGCAGCACCTGGACTTTTAAAGGAAAGAAAAAAATGAATTTCTCCCCTTCAAGTTGCCCACTTTTGTATGAAGAAATTATTATTATTTTTGATAACCAACACTGTCCTTCCTTTGTCCAGATTTTCACATTTTCTCTGTCCAAAATGTGTACTTGAAAAACAACAACGTATACCCAATTATTTTAAGAGGTGTGTGTTGTGAGATTTTTTGGATGTGTGGGTGTGTGTTTAACCCTGTCACCCACACTTCCCCCCCCCTCAGTTCGTGTGTCTCCTGTGTGTTGCCCCTTACCAAAGGCAGAAGTGCAAGCTTGGAATTCACTAGTCTCTTCTTAAAATAAAACTTATCTTTATTATAGCAAAACATTCAGAGTCCTAATTCCTAAACATTTTATAGAATACACAGAAAAATAAACATGCAAAGCAAAGTTTTCCCCACCCCATGCATGCGCGGTGAGAGGCCTCTCTCTGGCTGTCTCCTTTGGAGTCAGCTGAAGTCTGTTTTGAACCACCCATATTTATACCAGAGATCAAAGGGATCCCTTAATAATTGGATTGCAGTTAACCTTTGACACTTAGAACTTGAAATTGTCTTTGAGGAAATTGGTTTTCCTCCCTTGGTCTCACATAACAAGAGTTTACATTCCATAAATACAGTGCCATGGTTTACTTCAGGTGTTCCCCAATCATGGGAAATAAACTGTGTTTTGATGTTATCAGAGAGATGAAAGCTATAAATTGGAGTCTGCCAATTTTCCAAATGGTCATCTACCTTATTGCCTAGGAAATTGGAGTATTGGCAAGTCCCACATCAGTGATTGTCCTGGGAAATGGAATGTTTTTACCCCCTTGGAATGTTTTTACATCCTTGCATGTGTGACCAAGAAATAGATCCTTCTGGGAAAAGAGGAGCTTGCAAAAGAACCACGGGCTTTGATTCAAACAGGCCTAGCAAGGACAGAGAGAAATATGTATACTATTTTGGTTCATTTTAAACCCAAACCTTCTTCTATATTTTAATATTTCTTACCACGGTGTGATGTTCTTTACAACAGTGTTGAGCAACAGGTCCATCAACGGGTACTTGCTATTTGCGTCTAAAGGGATCCTCCATTTTGAGAGGCAGGAAACCTCCAGTGCTAGGAGGTAACACCAGAAGAGGGCCTTGGCCTCTATGGCTCTCGAGGGCAGCGAACTGGTCGATGTGTGAAACAGAATGCTGGCCTAGAAGGACCACCACTGGGGATAAATCCCAATGGGACAATGTAGCTATATGTATGCCGTTGGGGGGGCACCCCTGGTTTCCTGCCGCTCCTCCACAGAGCAATGGAGGAAATAGGGAGCATTCCCACACCATGACATCACTTCTTCTGCAAAGCTGGAAGTGGTATCTTCATGTTTAGCACCTCTAAAAGTCTGTGGCTTCTAATAGCGAAGACTACAGAAAGTGCAGAAATGCCCAAATTGACCTCAATGCTAAAAGGGCGAATGGAAGAAGACTTCGTTGGACTATGGACTCCATTTTATAATTGGACAAGAGAGAAATATAAAGACATGAACTTTTTAATATTACAGTAGTACGAATGCACTTATGAACTTTTAAACCTCACAGCTTATCGGTGTATCACATGAAATGACAAGTAGAGGAAAGTTACATGCAGAATATCATTTCTTTTGTTCTCTCCCCTGCCCCTTCCCCCTTCCCCTATCCTTGTGTATCTTAAAACTTAATAAAAAATTACTTTTTTTAAAAAAAAGTCTGTGGCTAAGCCAAATTTTAGGAGAAATGACTTCACTTTTGGGTTTCTGCCAGAAGTGACGTTGCAGCATCAGAACACTGCCTATTTGCATATCACCACCCCTGAATCCCCTGCAGGTTGTCCATGTTGGCCTGGCAACCCTAGCTACATGGGACCTAGGTTGTGACAAAACCCAGACATCAGGTGGCACATTGTTTGTGATTGTATTATCTCCTTTCTGCCAGTTTGCATCTGGGTTCCAAATGACGACTGCAGTCCCAAAGGCTGAAACAGAGTTCAACCTCCGAAGCTGCCATTTCCTCCAGGGGATATGATCTCCGAGTTGGCAACCCTAGATGGCCCCTCCCGACAGGCTCACTCAACAGTTCTGAGAGGCAATTCAGTAAGTGAATGGGGGAACTGAAATGACAGACCCATTTCAGGAAGTTTCTGTATATTTTGCATCGCTGTATCACCAGCATATTTCCCTTTAAAACTGCAGGGAAATATGCCGGAGATACAGAGGAATTTCAGACAGACGATATAGTCCGGAAGAGGAACGGTTCCCAAATGGTTTCTGGTCTGTCATTTCAGACAGAACCGTTTTAGAACTGGTTCCCTACTGGAATATATTTGTAATTTCACACACAAACACTTCTTTTCTTTCTTTTTTTTTAAGTACCCATAGGTACACTTTTATTATTATTTTTTATAATCTACAACAAACAAATCTACACACTACAAACAGACACTCTACTACACATAACGTATATACCAAGAGCGCAGTTACATTATATGCTTATATGCAATTACTTAATTAATAAAAACGCTATATCAAACACTTTCCATTCTTCTATCTTCTGTGTTCTCAAGTCCATTGCGCTATCACTGCCTAATCTTCTATTACATTTGCATTATACCAATCATAAAACTTTTTCCATGTTTTTTGAAATGTCCACTCTTTACTTAATCTCATTTCTAGAGTCAGTTTATCATTTTCTGCTGTTTCAAAAAGTTTATTCACAAACTCCTGTTTCGTTGGTATCACCATAGTTTTCCAATATTTGGCATATAAGATTCTTGCAGCTGTCGTCATATAAACAGTCAAATACCTATTCTCTTTTTCATAATCGTTTAGAAAACGGGGCTGAAGCGTTTTACCTGTCAACCGCTTCCAAGTAGTCTTCAGTTTCCTCTCCCGGTTCCGATGTGCTTTTTTCTCACTGTTTTCCCCCCGCATGGGCGATCTCCGGCTGGAATGTTGTGTTATAGCGCTCTAAAGCGAACGTTAAATAAAAAGCCGGAGATCGCCCGCGCGGGCGAAAAACGGCGGGGAAAAAGCAGGGCAGTCTGAAATGGCAAACCGCTTCAGATCCAGCTCTTTACCAGAAGGGAAAAGCCATGTGTGAAATGGCAGCCCTATACCGGTTTACTCCACGACGGATCAAAAACGGCTTCAAACCGACTTAAAAAGGGTAATATGAAATTCCTCACAGTGATATAATATAGAAATGACCACTAGAGGGAGCACAACACGTGTGGAAAAGAAACAAAACTGAAGCAACAGGAGCAGAAGAGCCACGAAAATAAGAGCGGAAGAACCTTGTGTGTCTTTGAATGCAGGGTGGTCAACATCCAGGCGGGGCCTGGAGATCTCCCAGAATTACAACTGATCTCCAGACTACCAAGATCAGTTCCCCTGGGGGAAATGGCTGCTTTATGAAGTTATACTCCACTGAGGTTCCTTCTCTTCCCCCACTTTTGGCTTCTCCAGGCATCATCCTCAACTCTACAGGAATTTCCCCACACCGATAACCTTATTAGCAACAGGCACCCCAAGACAATCTTTTAGAACTTGGATCCTTTCCTTTTGCTGCTTTGTGCTCCCAGGAAACAAAAGAGGATCTGGATTCAGTGCTGGACTAAGAAGGGGGACGTATAAGTCATCTCTGCAAGGCAGAGAGCAGACTCGACCCCATCCTGAGCTTGATGAAGGGGAATAAGATCCTCAACAGGCGCAATGTGGGCAGGGACCACAGTCTCCTGCTGTTGGCCATCAGACCAGAGGATACTGGGGAGTAGCAGTGCTGTAATATATCCAGTCAGACCGCGTGGCCGGCTAGGGCTCCACGCGGTCAAGCACAAACGTCGAGCTTCGCTCTTAGAGACAACAAGAAGGGGGACCCGTGATACTCGCTAGGGGGGAGCTCCACATGGAGGAGGAGGAAGCAGCTGCAGGTGAGCCCTCTCCCCCATCCCCGGCACCAACGTCAAGGCCCACGTGGCTTCAAGCTGCCGGGAGCGCCAAACCTTCTCCGTCCCCCACCAGGTGCCCCCCTCCCCCAGCAGCGACGGCGGCCCGCCAAGCCTCCCCCCCAGTGGTGGCCCGCCAAGCCTTCTGCCTCCCCCCCCCAGTGGTGGCGAGGGCGAGACAGTTGCCAGGACATTCTCTGCAGGGAATGCTCTTTCACTTTTGGGGGATTTAAGTATCCCCCATATGCGTTTTCCAAGTTTTTAGATTTTTCTGCACACCTGGGAACTGTTCCAAGTGTGCTGGATAATCTCTCTGTCCTCCAAGTGCCCCCAATGTACGGATTTAGATATCCACACGGAGGAGGCAACTTGGCTATTAGATATATAGATAGACTATGCGGATCCTAGCCCGCACCAATCAGGGGGCTAGGTCCCGGCCGAGAGCCTATGGAACTCTCGGCCCCTGTAAATAACCTATTGGGAAGTGGTCGGGTGTTACGGGTGGCGGTTTCACGGGGAATATAAGCCGGCCTGCGAGCCGGCAAAAGCTGTCTTGTTCCTGATCGAATAAAGTACACTTTGCTGAAATCACTCTGTCTGCGTACTTTTTAAGTGCTGGGCAGAGACTCCCTGTGGTTCTGCCAAGAAGGCCCTGCAGTTGGGTGTGCCGTGGAAGAATCGAGGATCTTGGAAAAATGAGGGGTGCTGTACATGAGGGCATTCATCACAGGCTGAGAGGCTTGATTTGCAAGAGAATCAGCAGTCATTCCTATTGGTTTTTAAAGTAGGTGACAGACACCTTTCACAGTCCATTTGCCCCTACCAGGACCTCTGGAAATCTGTGAGGCTGTGATTGGCCCTTAAATCCTGGTTCAACCCTGCCCCCGAACTTACATTCTACACTACACTCAAGTTTACTCCTGTAATTATCTTGGAGTATTTTTTGTTTCCACATTACATTCAAGTCACCCTGGTTTCGGCTCCACACTTGTCCCGGGATAAACGGATGCTGTTATAACCAGGGATAAATGCAAGGTATTGTGTTGCGTGTTGAGCTCTGATAAAACCAGGGATGAGATTCAAGTGCAGAAAGGACCATTGTCTGCCAAGGGGGGCAATACAGAGTCTTGGAAGAAGCCAAACATCTCAGCAGGCAGGAAGACTTCTATCAACAAAGTCCAAATTCCCTGCCTCCCCTTCATCCTGCTGTAGCCCAAAATGCCCCTCCCCCCCAAAAAAATGCTGCTCTAGAGGGACATT